CGTCGGCAGCTCCAACTTGTATGACAACGGAGTCAGTCAAGCTAATCGGGCGTTCGCCCTCAGTGAGGACGGCCTCCTCCGCTATGGCCCCGGAAGAGCGCAAGGCTTGCTCAGACTCAGAAAGAGTCGGGGTCACTGGGCACGTGGCAGCGAAGAGCATCGGAGGATTCCAGGCCGAGAGGACCCAGATAGCAACTTTGCCCGGGCCAAAGGACCCGAAGGTTTGCAACCTCCCTGCCTCAACCTCGCGGTAGTATCTCAAAAACGCCCTAGCGGCATGCTCCGCCTGGTCAGTGGACATTCCTCCTTGTCCGTGCGTGAGAGGTGGAAATGCCACGGGGAGCGCCCATAGGCGCAGCTGCCTGATGCGCCTCATCCAGACTGTTGCAGGCGAGATGGTTAGGGTGCCTCGGCATGTGCCGGGGACTAACTGCAAGTAGTCGCCTGTCCGGAGTGGCCGCCGAATGCCTTGCAAGGGGACGCCGTTGACCAAGTAGGTCAGGTCCCTGGCACGCTGGTTGGGCTTTAGAAGATCCTCAGCCCAAGTACTCTCGGAGACCTCAATCGAGTAGATGCCTTGCCCGCACGTCGTGATATCAATCACAATAGCAACAAGGCCTGGCCGCCCCGAAGCTAAGACAAAGGGAACAGACAGAACACCGTCAGGGCTTTGCAAGGGATAGGCCGACAGCAGCTGCACAAAACCCCCTGGTGGTAGCGCACGGCTTCGAGCAACTGCGCTGACAAGCCGGGTCAGGGCAACCACAGAGTCAAAAGCCTCAAGCTCAACCGGCAGAGTGCGAAGAGTTTGTGCGCCAGTCACCAGAGCGACCAAAACACGCACGGGCCCCGCAACAACACCTGTAGTAGTCGCCGTGGTGTCCGCTAGAGAGGGAAACGCCGGGGCCATTCGAAGTAGAGGCCGCACTGCCAGCCAGTCAACATTATCAAGGGTGTCAGGCAAGACATCATAGACAGCACCGGTTTGATCTTGCAAATACACGGGGCCGTGACCCTCCACTCGTAGCTGCACTGCAACATTAGTGGTGACAAAGGGCCGGATTCTGGCATAGACCTCCTCAGCAGGCATATCAGGACTTAGAGGTGGACAGAAGATATCCCCACCTATAGGTCTGAGATCTACGGGTATGATCCTCCATGGGTCCACGACGTCAACAGAGGTCGCCACCATTTGAGGTGTGGCGATACCCGGCATGGGGCTTTGCAGCACGTGCATGCTACGCAGGGACTCATCATGCGATGCACCCGCAAAAACCGCTAGATCGGACAGCGTCCACTCAGGCTCCGCAAGCAGGTTCCGCGGCCAGCTGTGCCACGCAAAAAGAGTGTACTGTATGCGCTGCCGCCCATATGGGCCCTTGCCTCGATCCAGAGTGAACTGAAGTGAGTCCTGGATAGCCACACCTTCCTCGAAAACGTAGGCTGGGTGGCACTCAAAGGCAGGTGGCCGAAACGTGGGCCGCAACATACGCTCTCTGCCGAGCAGAGAGGGCACATCGTCCCGAAGAGCATTCGGTGCATCGGGTCTCGGGGCGAGTGCAGTCTCATCGGCACCCCCCGGGCCCTCATAGTGCAACACAGCCCATTCCAACTCCACGAGGGGCTCCTGGAAATCAACATGTCTGCGACCTGCGGCATCAAGAACGGCCCGCGGAGTCCCCAGCGGCAGGCTAAGAAGACGCGGGATGGGCGCACCACTAGCCAGAATGCCAGGCAAGGCCTCCATGGTTGCACGATTGGTCACAGCAGCCGTCGCAACATTCAGAGCAAAAACTCGAAGGTCAAAGGGAACTGCCAGCGCATCAGGCACCGCATTGGTCGGCGTCAACGTGAGCTGGGGGCATGGAAGGCCCGACATTGGCCTTGTCACAAACTGGAGCGTGCGAACCGACTGTGCAGCCGATCCAGCAGCATCTGCCGCATAGTCACTTAAACGCCAGTCTTGCCGGCAAGCCCGAACACGTGGTCGCTGCCCAGGCTCAAAGATAGTATACCGGCCATTTCCCGCATCGTCGACCTCAGGCCGCAAAGCCACAACAATTCTGGCCATTGGAAGATACAGGGCTGGGCCATCAAGCTCTGCAGGCAAAACTCGGACATGCGAGGCACGGATGTAGGAAACCTCACTAGGCATGGCTGGCCCTGTAGTCCTTCGTTCCCCTAGCTGAGGACCCCATTTGGAGCCCGTGCCGACCTCAGCATGATGAGACCGCGAACTTGCCTTCAGGACGGTGGAGGCCTGCGGGGCCACGAGAGCGCCTTGCGTCCATACCTGTTGGCCTAGGACCTGGGACATTGCAGGGCTACCACATGGGTGCACCCGCTGCGACAGGGATGGGCGGCCAGATGGAGGAAGCGGGGTCGGATGCAAGCAAGGCCGCGAGTCCATCTATTGGTGTGGGACTGCAACCCCGTGGAGAAGCACACCTGTAGTGGAACCTGATACCTGATCCTGTGGAAGGAACTGCGGCTGGGAGGTTCATGAGAAAAAAGGCAGTGTACTGTACACACACTCACTCTATGTACAGCGTTCAGACCACGAAAAGGACATCCAACCTCATCACAGTCGTAGTTCAAGATGGAGCCGACGTGCGCATGAGACTCCCGGGACCAGGCCGCATCTGCCTCGCTTGCGGGCTGTACCAAGCTCTCCGCAAGGGGCTGGAAGGCCGGGTCACCAAGGTCAATACCGCACGTCATCTCTCCAGAAACTGGGCACGCTAAGGTCATCTTCATCACTGATCCTCGGATCGATCGCCAGAGGGAAGGCGGGAACCAAGGCCACATCTTGCAGAGCAACTTCCAGCTGCAAGTTGGCCGCTAACATCATCCCCCACATGGGGCTAACATAGTCACAGTCACCCATAACCGAATGACTGGAAGTCCTAGGCCCACGCAATCCAATCAGGCATCTGCGCGGGCCTTGCCAGGGGGCTGCTCCTTGGTGGCCGCCTCCGCCTTCGGCTCCGGTGGGGCCGTTTTTGGCTCCACCACAGCGTCCTTTCCTTTGCGCCTTGGCGTGCGGCTGCCATCGCGCGGCACAGCCATCGCCTCTGCATGCTTTTTGGCATCTTCGCAGGCCTGCTGCAGCAGATCCTGCACTTTCATCTGCTGCGCCTGCACGGCCTCCTGGGCTGTCCGGTTGCGCTCGGCAATCTCCGACTCGACCTCTATAGCAGTGGTCACCATAGCATCCTGCTCGTCGTCCTCGTCGACCTCGATGCAGGTGCCCGGCGCTGCTGCTGCCGCCAGGGCCTGAGTAGCACTGGCAAGTCGTGTTGCCAGCTCCGTCTCCTGCGCGGCATATTCCTGCAGGGCTTTGAGGCGCGCCTCGCCCTGCTGCTGCCATAGATCCAGCAGCTGTATCACATACTGTTCCCAAGCTGCAGCAAAAGTAGCCCGATCCGCACGCAGGGTCTCCAGTTGTTTCCGGAGCTGAGTCTGCTCTGTCACCAGGCGATGCATATGCTTGCCCTGCTGGTGTGTCTCCTCGCGGGCAAAAGAGCTCAGGCGCTTCTGTAAGTCCGGCGGCAGCTGATCCGCCGGCACCTTGGATATCAGCTCCAGGATGAGCTTCTTCTCCTCCGAGACAGAGGACGAGGCCGGCTCTCCAGTAGCCGGCGGGGCCTTGACCAAGGTCTTGACCACCGGCGCTTGCGGCAGGTTCTGCAAGGACGGTGGCAGCAACTGCTCCGATCGCGGCTCCCCATCTGGGGCCGGGCCATCCTTGCCACCGGGCTGCTTGCCTCGTCCCTTGCCACGTCTTCGTGGCGACTGCTGCCTCCAGGGCGTCACCTCGGCTCTCCTTCTCGGTGACACAGGCCATTGCCTTTGGCCCTTGCCTGTGTCCTGCCACTGCTCTCGCTGTCGCGCTGGGTGTTGCGCATCCCACTTGCGTCCACAGTTCCCGCAGTAGACCGCCGAGTGCTTGCACCACCGAGCGCATGTAGGGCACCACCAGGACTGTGATGCCGACGCCATCGCTTGAAGCTTGAGCCTCGCCTGCGCCGGCAGCTGTGACTTCGAGTGGTGTCTCTGCAATGTAAATATTGCTCCTTGCACCTGTCTCAGGGGCACCACAGCGCCCGAAACAAAACTTCGAAGAGTAGTTCTCGAGAACGTCCTCAATCTCCTTCTTTTGCGGTGCCACGCTGGTTCGCGCGTCCGCCTGAAAATCCTGCAGCGTGGAATAGTCCAGACAGCAAGCCAGGGCCCCAAAGAACCCAAAACAAACCAGCTTGGCCACACCAAACATAAACCGCAGTAATAAAGAGTCCTCGCAAAGCGGACAGACTCCGGGGCCAGCTACCAAAGGTAGGGCCAGGCCAGCTACACAAGGTAGGGCCGCTGCAAAGCTCCTCCACAAGGGTACAGAGCAAGCAGGAGGTAGAAAAGCCAACCGACTCCCAATGGCGACGAGGGGTCGGGATACAGAGACGCCGCGCTCTTGCGGACCGGCGCCCTGCAGTGCGGGTCAACACAGACCTCGCAAGGGTCTAGGCTAAGGACAAGGATCCCAAGGGAAAACTGCAAGTCCTCAGCCGAGACGCCTGGGTTTAGGGGTTTAGGGTTTAGGGTTTAGGGGCTTTAGAAACTGTAGGGCCGCTATTAGGGATTAATCAGGAGGCTCGGAGGGCTTGTGGATAGCGGCATATATGATTGCGGGAGGGACAAAATCGGCATGTGTGCTTTTCCATGGCTTCTTTGGCCTGCGATTTGGAGCCGGGCTTTTTGGCATAGTTCGCTTCCTGGCGTGCCTGCAGAACAAACCCCACTTTGACCGTGGGATCCTTGAACATTAAGCCTTCTGTTTCAGCGGCTTGAGTCTCAACCTGAAGCCCTAAACCCTACACCTGATAAGTTTCACTATGTAGAACATAGTCCTGCTTTCTCCCTGCTCGGTCAAGTATGGGGATGATCCACCCGGAACACTGGGTCGCCCGTCACGTCATGCCATGTCCCAGGAAGTGCTCCTGAGCATGGAGGAGGAAGGCCAGGAGTAGCGTAGCCCAAGCAAACCCTGCACTTTGAGCTTAGAGGGTGTAGGTTTAGGCAGAAACCTGCAAGTTCAGCTCTTTGTCACACCTGTTGCTCAACCAGGTGACCCTTGATACGTAATTAATGAGACGCACTCCGTATATAAGGTAATCAGAACACGAACCCTCAAACAACGTACAGTCCATCATCATCCCGCGAGGATGGTCGACTCTGCGAATCCACCCAGGAACATGAGCGCATCCTGTTTGGATGCCACACTCTGGCTTCTAAACTTAGTTGCGTTCTGCGCTCCACATAAGATTGTCATCGAGTGTTTTCCATAGAGTGTGGCTGCGGATAGGGTCTCCTTTCCGAGTGGACAGGCAAGCAGATCATCCAAGAGTTGGACGACAGGCGGTCGGTGCTCACTGGGAATAGCGGTGTGAGGCGGGTGAAAATGAGTCATGACATCAGCTGCTTGGAAAACTCTGGCCTTTCAGCTCTGACATTCTGCGTAGGCTAAGGGGAGCCCACCCGATTTTGCAAACAAAAAGCCCAAAAGTGTGCCTTATGTGGTCCTGAAGGCAGTCTCAGGAGCCCAAATCAGCCAATTCATTGCTCCCGTGCGAAAGCTGTCTGTCAGCATCTGAAAAACCAAATTCATCAGGCAACGCTGGCTCGCCTCCCCCGGTCCATCCCAGGTTCTCTGAACCAGAAGGTGCAGGCCTTGAACCAGAAGACGAACGAGGACCGAATTGCCAGCCTTTGCGGCTGCGGCAGTACTGTTTGTCAAACAGACATGTTGCCCTGTGGTTCTGGGCCACCTCACAAACAGTCAACCCTAAACCCTAAACCCTAATCCCTTTACGACTCTCGAAGCTTTGTTCCCTGCAGTGCGACCTAGTCAGCGAAGCGGGTGGGAAAAAAAAAACCCAAACCTTCCACACTGCTAAGACCTAAGACCCCAAAGCCCTAGTGCCCAGGCCCCAACACCCGAAAACTGACGAGGACAGCAACCTCCCGGATGACAGCCAGCTTTCCGAGGACTCTCGCTTCTCCCTGGTTCAAGGGTTTAGGATGTTAGGATGCTTTAGGTTGCTTTTCTCAGGGCTGTAATGAACAGGGATTTTGGGCCTGTTTTAAGGCTTATAAGAGGTTTGAGAACCAGGCCTAGGGTCGAGTGTGAACTAACCCTAAACCCTAAACCCTAAACCCTAAACCGTAGAGCCTAACACTCTGCTTCTTCGTTCTGTTGGCTGATGTGGCGCATGGTCTTCAATGCTTCCACAGGCATAGCTACAGGGCTGTGCTTCAAAAGGGTTTCTGGGGGCCCAAGGTTTAGTTTTGAGCGTAGGACCCGAGAGTTTTTAAACTGGAAATTGGGGAGTTATGTTTGGTGGGCTGGCTACTTGTAGAGGGTCCTTGCTGTCATCACGGGAATTCGTTTTGGTTGGTATCCATCTTCAATATTCGATCTAGAATGGCTTGTTTCCTGTTTCCATTTGATGTTGGGCCCAACATCTCTTAGAGCCTTTGTGTTGCAGCCCAGGCTCCCAAAGCCCGGTAGCCACAAGATCTCGTCAAGTGCTCGGAATTGGGGATGTGCACCTTCTGACACGGCTTTCAAGGGAAAGACGCCTTCCTGGCTGGGAGTGTCCGGACTCTGGGATGGCGGGAGGACACGAAGCAGATGCTGGATGCCACCTTCGGCCTCCTGCACAGTCGCTCGCTTGCGTGGAAGGGTGTCCCGAAAACTTCCGAATCCCTCCGGAAATCTTGTTGCCAAGCTTGGAACCACGCCCAGATCTGTCATTTGTCAGAATACCTCCATAGATACGAAGGATGAAGCTGCATCAAGCTACAGCTGGTGGTGCTGCTGCTGCTGCTGCTGGGGTGTGGTGTGTTGTGTTTGGGGGCTGTGGGTTCTGGGTATGTATGCAGGTAGGTGGGTAGTATTAGTAAGTAGGTAGAGGACTAACTAGGTAAGTAAGTAAGTAGCATTCGTACATACATGCATACATACTTTATGAAACACACACTTCACATACATCACAAAATTCACAGCCATCACAAACATCACAGACGTCAAAGGTCTCACATCCATACATACGCACATGCCTCAACATGCATATGCACAAATAAATCAACATGCTTACACACATGTGCGTGCACGTACTCAGTATATGTCATACAGATACCCATGTACATGTACATACATTATTACATGCAGCGGCAAATGCTTACATGCATGCATATGTACGTACATGGACACTTGCATGCATACATATATGCAGCCACATGCGTGCGTGAATATGCATTTGGAGTAGGCAATAGAAAGATAGATACAGCTGTATTTATAAGTTTGGCAATCAATTTGGCAATCTGTGCGGAAGCATGCATAACCTCAAGCAAGTCTGTATGTACATTTACCAGGGTTGCAGCTGCTAGAAGCAATCACTGTGTTCTCTTTACAGAAGCCTTTGAGTTGCTTTAGACCGCGATCGAAAGCCTTCATGGGCCGAGGATATCGGACCCATCGTGGAAAGACGCTGAGAATAGTGGAGAAGTTCGCCATGGAAAGGGCTCTTTGGCCAGTATAACAAACTGTCTGAGTCACTGGGGAAATTTATGGACACGTTTATGTCTACGTCTATATATATATATATATATATAAGTCTATTAGTCTCTTCGGCCAGTGTAGCAAAAGGGTCTGGTCAGTCTGGTCTGAAGGGTTGGGAATGTATGCCATTATTAGGCCACTACACGGTCTGAATGCTGGGCAAGATTACCTCCTTCCTTATAAGGCATAAGCAACAGTTTATATATATATATAGATATGTATTTATTTATTTTTTTACTATATATACATATATGTACACACACGTGTACATATATACATATACACACTACAGAACGCTCTTGTAGATACCCAGCCAAAGGCGATGGGTTCGTAAAGGCTTCGGCAAGGCTCAAAAGCCGTTTTCACCAAGATTCATCGAATAAGGAAACCCTAAGGTTATGCAAAGCTGTCAAAAATGGTGTTTGGTCAACACCTTCGTGACAGTTGAACGTTTGGGTCTGGACTACCACACCAAATGTACAGCTAAAGCCTCCTACCACTAGGATGTCTCACCTAAACCCTAAACCCTAAACCGTGCAAGTGAGCCACAAACCCAGTTGAGGTTGAGAGGCGTTTTGGGCTTCTGACGGCACAAGACCCCATCATCTCTGAAGGGCTAGAGTTGGTCGGTTTTCGTGTTAGCAGCTATGGGTTTCGAGCAGAATGTAATGAGTTGTGGTTGGGACGCTTGTCCAGAGACTTTAGCTTTCGGGTTTGCATCCTAGGCTTCGCTGTGATATGGTGATACGATGATATGGGCAGCCCAGCTCGTATATAGTCATAGCCCATTGTGGCCCATGAGACCTTACCTCCAAGGAAGGGCCCTAAACTGCGCTTGAGACCTCGCCTGGATTCTCCGAGTTGTGAGAGTGTAAACCTGCAGCCGAAACCCAGAAACTCAGGCAGCCGCAAGGCTGCGCCCCAAACTCCAAACTCTGCCCCTAAACCCAACATCCCAAACTGTTCGATCCCCAGGCCGTACTAATGGTAGGAGGCAGTATACTAAAGTGCAGAAGGGTATACATGTATACATACATATACAGATACA